AAATAATAACAATCATACAAGGCGGGAAGCAGTTTACAAGTTCATCAGCTAGGTTATTGACTCGGCGGATATCTTAAAACTAGCATTTCTTGAATTACTTTAGAGCGCAGCTATTAGGCGCCCGTTTCTTGGTTGGGCGGCGTCGGCGTCGCCGTCGGCGTCGGCCTAACCGAGCGCGTAACATAATAGGACGTTTCACCACTAAAGTTAATGGGGAAATTTTCCTCCTAAAATTAGCGGAGACGTTAGGGAATTGTAGTAGACCGTTTTTCTCCTCCGCTACGGTGTCCGCGTAGAAAACGCCGCAGTTGCTCATGCACGCCGCCAGCCTTGTCTCCATAGTTAAGGTCTCGTGGCAAATTACGGAGCGCTATCTGGGTGCTTAGCGGGCTGCGGAAATGGTCTACTACAATTCCCTCTAAATTTAGCGGGGAAATTGACGTCACGTGATCTAAACACCGATTTAGTTTCCCCGCTAAATTTAGTGGGGAAAATCACGTCACATCGTCGTGTCACGTCACGCATGAACGAACTCAGCGGAAGGAGCAGAGGAAGAGGAAAGGAGGAGGAAAAGTATCGGAGCAGGTGGAGAAGAGGAGGGGAGGAGGAGAGGTAGCGAGGAGAAGGGCATACCCTCCCGTCCGTAACCTCCCCTCCTTCTCCTCAACAGCTGCGCTGTAGTTTGGCATTACGGAGGTTTGCAAATGTCTTTCATTTTTACAGCGCAGCACTTAGGTGCTCGTTTGGGGTTGAGCGGCGTCGCGGTCGCCGTCGGCGTCGGCGTCGGCGTCGGGGTCGCCGTCGCCGTCGGGGTCGCCGTCGGCGTCGGGGTCGCCGTCGGCGTCGGGGTCGCCGTCGGCGTCGGGGTCGCCGTCGCTCTCGGGGTTGCCGTCGCGGTCGCCGTCGGCGTCGGCGTCGGGGTCGCCGTCGCCGTCGGGGTCGCCGTCGCCATCGGGGTTGCCGTCGGCGTCGGGGACGCTGTCGGTGTCGGGGTCGCCGTCGGCGCCGGCGTAACCGCGCGCGTTCCATTGTGGAAAATTTTCCCGCTAAACATAGCCGGGAAATCGATGTGACGTGACTTCAACACCAATTCAGTTTTTCCGCAACATTTAGCGGGGAAAATGACGTCAGGACACCGCGTCACGCGACCCATGAAAAAATCCAATAAGGGTGGCGATGTGGGTTAGTTGGTTCAAACTAACAAAAAGGCAAACAGCGCAAAGTAAACGGGAACTAAAGGAAATGCAAACGACAAGCGCTGCGCTTGTCCTGTTTGCACTTCCCCTCCTGCAGATCCCCTCCAGCAGCTGAAAAAATTCACCTGCAGGAGGAGATCAGGACGAAAGGAGGAGAAGGAGGAGGAGGAGAGAAGAGGTGGAGGGAGAGGTACGAAGGAGGAGAGCATGCCCTACCCTCCGTACGCTTTCCCCTCCTCCTCAAGGTCTGCGCTTTAGTTGCGCGTTGCAGATATTTGTAAAAGCCTATCGTTTCCGGGTTGAGCGGCGTCAGTGTCGGCATCCGCGTCGGCGTCGCCGCCGTCGTCGGCGTAACCGCGCGTTGCATTATAGGACTTTTTCATAACTACGTCACACGTAGTCACGTGTGACGTCACGAGCGTAAATTTCCAGCTAAATTTTGGGGAAAACTTTCCGCTAACTTTGGCGGTACATTTTTCTGCGAATTATAGCGGGGAATTTCTGTCTCATAAAATAGTGGGTGAATTTCCCCGCTAAATATAGCCGAAAAATGTTTTCGTTAAGTTTTGAAAAAAAAAGAAACGTTCGATGGATTTGTCGGAAAATGTTTCCGCTAAATTCAGCGGAAATATTTCCCGCAGTATTTAGTGATAGTTGCTCCTGCCAAATTTAGCAAAAAGAAATCACGCAAAATGTAGTGGCAAAAAGATGCCCCGCTAAATATAGCGTGAACATTTTACCGTCGAAACATAACGCGTGAAGTCACGTGACGTCAAGAGACGTCACGCTATATTTAGCAATAAAATTTAGTGGAAAAAGTTCCCCGCGAAATTTACCGAGGAATTTGACGGCACGTGACCTTAGCTACAATCAGTTTCCCCGCTAAATTTAGAGGGAACAATTTTGCTAAATTTCCCTCCAAGTTTAGAGTTAAAGTGTTAATAAATTTTCCACTAAATTTAGCGGGAATACTTCTCGGCTTTAGCGGCGAAATTTTGGCTTCATTTTGCGGGAAATTTAACGAAAATTGTGCGCAAAATGGGAGACGAGCAGGCGAGGGCGAGGGGAGAGAACATGAGCGAGTAGGGGCATCCCCTCCCCTCCTCCTCCTCAATAGCTGCTACTTCGGCGTTACAAAAAATTGTAAACCTCTTTGATTTTTTGTTTTCGAAATACATTTTGGCATGTTCTAAATATTTAGAATCGCGGCTATCGAGAGCCTTACAGTCGTTTGCAGAGGTACGAAATACCTATATGGTCGTTGTTCGTCAATGCGGACTGAATTGACTGCGTATGCACCAAGCTATGTGTAATGCTAAATTGTTAACTTCGTTTAACATTTGACAAAACGTCCTTGCGAGAAGAGTTGTAAACACACATGCTTTATGTACTCAAATCGATGGCACTAGAAGTAGGGAACTGAAGGCACTGCAATAGTAACGGACTACAACTAGCTTGCATATGAAAGTATGAATATCACTATTACCTAAGTCATTAGGGCAGCGTTGCTATAAATATCTCAGTGTGTCGTATAAGATTCGTAATACCCTTTATTGATTATATAACTCGTGCACGAAAACACACAAAAAGACCTAAGTATATACACAATTTTTAGCGTTAAGTGGCGTTACATTTTGGCGTTCAACTTGTCAAACCATCAAAGGGCACCTGACAGGTCCCAGCGGAGGAGTGACGGTAAATGTGGAACAACTGTGAATTTGTGTTGCTTCGCAAAATTTAGCGGGGAATTAGAAGTCACGTGACCTCAACACTCATTCAGATTCCCCACTAAATTTATCGTGGTAAATCACGTCGCTACCTCTTGTCACGTCACGCATGAACACATTCAGCCGCAGGAGGACAAGAGTAAAGGAGGAGAAGGATGGAAGAGGAGGAGAAGAGAGAGGGGAGGAGAGGAGAGGAGACGAGACGAGGAGGAGGGTAATGTAGGGAGGAGGAGGAGCACACCCTCCACTCCTCGTTCTCAAGAGCTGCGCTCTAGTTTCGCATTACAAACAATTGTAAAAGTCTCATTTTTATTTGTCTACAAATACATTATTGACATGGCTCCAATATTTAGGATCGCGGCTAGGGAAAGTTACAGTCCTTTGCAAAAGTACGAAATATCTATCTTGGCGATGTTCTTGAATGCGTACTCACTTGACGCCTTTTGGACGAAGCTAAAGTGCATTGCTAAATTTTTAGCTTCATCTGATATTTTGCTAAAGGTCATTGAATGTTCCTTATGGCGAAAAGAGTTCTAAACAGACATGCTTGATGAACGCAAATCGATGGCGTTCAAAGAAGGGAACTGAAGTCATTGCAATACTAACAGACTACATTTACTTGCATATAAAAGTATAAAGATTGTTGTGTCTGCAAGCTGATCCTGGCTGCTAGTGTACGAGGACGAAGAAGAAGGAATACGAACGGAGCACGAGATGGAGCAGTTGGATTTTCCGTCCTGTCTTACCTAGTCGCTCGTATTAAAACACAACAATTGGCGCAGTCGACAGAGCCTCAACTCCAGCATGAAAGTCGATCCACCACCGCCTTTCCTACAGGCCCCAGGCAAGTCGCCAATTCCATGGAACGAATGGTACGACATTTTCGAGACGTACAAGATCGCTTCCAGCGGGTCGACGGTGGCAGACGCCAGAAGAACGGCCATTTTACTCAGTTCACTTGGAGTTGAGGGTCAACGGACCTATCGCAAGCTACCTGACCCTCCATATATGTCCGCGAAGAACCGCGGTACATCACCAAGTACCTCAACGGCTCCTTCAGAATCGGGCACTCCTGCAACGCCCGATACCACAGCCTACGAAGCAGCGGTCAGGAAGTTGCGAAAGTTCTTCATGCCGGCCATCAACAAAACGGCCGAGAGATTTGTTTTTTGGTCCCGTGCTCAGATGCCCGGTGAGACAGCGCAAGAGTACGTTACAGACCTCCGTGGCCTTGCCACCAATTGCCAATTCGGAGTAATGACAGATGAAATGATCTGTGACCAGCTCGTCGAAGAAACGGTTTATTCCGAAGTTAGAAACCGCCTCCTCCTAGAGTCCGAGCTTTCCCTGGAATCTGCTATTGCCATCGCTTCTCAAGTTGAGCAAGCGCTGAAGAAAGCCAAGCTGTTGACGGAAGAGGGATCCAGTTCACAAGTGGAGAAAATAAAAGCCGAGAATTCGAGGACAAGTCCCAGCAAGTCGTCCGTCATTTGTTACAGATGTGGGTCACCGCTCCACTCGGCGGCCCACCCTAAGTGCCCGGCAAAGAACGAAGCTTGCAGAAAACGCAACAAGAAGGGACACTTCGCCTCCGTTTCCAAGCAGGGAGTTTCACAAGCAACATCCCATGTACGAAGAGTGGGACAAGCGCACGACCAAGTCCAGGTGCTCACTACCAGCTTTACCAAACAATCGGTTACGTGCGAGAATCATCTGGCGCATGTTCCCACTAAACTTTTACTAGACACGGGTTCATCCGTTTCAATCCTGCCGGAAGACGTCTACCGAAGACACTTCCTGTTGTGTCATCATGTTTGAATCGAATGTCATGTGTCGGTTAACTGTGACGTCACTCTTTAACCTATAGATAGCGCGGCTGCTATCAGTATAAAAGCAGCCATGAGTGTGCCTACGGGTTTGTTGTATTCTTGGCATCGTCGAATAAACATGCAAGCTGCAGAAACTGAGTACTTCCCTAGAGGCTAAAACAGTGGCGACGAGTATGAGATAGCCGAGAAGACAGAAGCCAGCACTGTCATCGGCAAAAAACCCAAGCGCCTTGACCGAGGACCACGGGATGGCTTCGTGCGGCGGCCGGTTCGAGCAGTTCATCGAAGATGGGGAGGAAGACCTCGAGTCGTACGTCGAGCGGATGGAACACTATCTTCGAGCAACGAAGGTGAGCGACGACTTGAAAGTCTCGGTCTTCGTAGCGGCCATCGGGAAGCAAGCGTACCGCACGTTGAAGACGCTGTTAACACCAGTGAAGCCACAAGAAAAGGACTATGCGCATCTGGTCGCGGTCCTCAGGGAGCATTACGCTCCGAAGCCGATGGTAATCGCCGAGCGATTCAGATTCAACCGGAGGGCCCAGCTCGAGAAGGAAACGGTGGCGACGTACAGGGTTGAGTTAAAAAGGCTCGCGGCCACCTGCGAGTTCGGGCAGTTCCTGGATGAAGCACTCCGGGACCGTTTTGTCGCGGGGCTAAAGGACCAGGCAGCCCAAGCAGAGCTTCTAAAAAAGAAAACTAACTTTTTCGGCGGCATGCGACATTGCCAGAATGCATTGAACTCGCACGAGCAGAGACCAAGATATTTCAGCCAGCAGCCTCTGAACAACTAGAGGTGAACGCCGTCCAACGTCTAGACCCAGACAGGAACGTCGGAGCGGCTACCAAGAAGGCGACGATGGAAGTCAACACTGAGAGGCCCGAGGCGTCAGGCTGTTTCCGCTGCGGAGCACCCCATCACGAGTCAAGTTGCCCGTTTCGGAAGTACAAGTGCCGAGCGTGTAGACGAGTGGGACACTTGGCAAGGGCCTGCAAAGCAACGTCCCGTTTGGTGCAAGCCGTGGACGACAGTAGTGGTGAGGAAAAAGTTTGGCTGTACAACATTGGCTCCTGCAGTGCTAGAAAAGGGGGTTACACTACTGAAGTTCGAGTGGCGGGAACAATGGTGACAATGCAAGTTGATACAGGAGCCTCGGTTTCCATTGTGCCTGAAGAGGTGTATAAGCAGTACTGGCCTGAATTGTCTCTCTCAAACTGCCGGCTAAAGTTGAAAACTTATGGGGGCGTGCCTTTGGAGGTATTAGGCAAGTTGATTGTACCTGTGGAGCACAATGGTCAGACCATGACGTTGTCGCTTGTAGTGGTTCGCACGCCGCAGAAATGTGAGACTGTGTTAATGGGCCGCGATTGGCTAGAAACGTTGAGGCTAGACTGGATGAGCGTGTATGGGGTTAGTCTAGACCAAGTGGCAGGGCTGGTTGACCGATTCTTGCAAATGTTTGAGCCTGAACTGGGATTAATCGCGGGCAGTCAAGTTAAATTAGTATTGAAGGACGACACGACCCCAGTCTTTTGTAAACATAGAACTGTACCATTCGCTTTAAGAGAGTCAGTAGAAATAGAGTTGCATGCGCTCGTGAAAACGGGAGTCCTGGTCCCTGTTCAGCAGAGTGAGTGGGCAACACCGTTGGTCGTTGTCCCTAAGCCGAACAACAAAGTGAGGTTGTGCGGCGACTATAAAGTGACGCTGAACCCGAATCTCAGAACAGACCACTATCCCTTGCCGGTAATGGAAGACGTGTTTGCAACGCTACACGGGTGCAAATATTTCACGGTACTTGATCTTTCTACAGCGTACCAGCAGCTGCAACTGCACCCGGATTCGCAGTCTCTTGTAACTGTAAACACGCATATGGGCTTGTTTAAGTATACACGCCTTCCATACGCCATCACGAGTGCACCGTCTATTTTTCAGGCTGTAATGGACGAAATATTGAAGGGCCTTGACAGAGTATCATGCTATCTTGACGATGTGTTGATAGCCGGAGAAACTTCGGAAGAATGTTATCGAAAAGTGGGAAGCGTGCTGACAAGGTTCAAGGAGCGCGGTATCAAAGTAAAAAAAGAAAAATGCAAGTTTCTTCAGACGTCGGTGGCTTACTTGGGCCACGTAATTGATGAACATGGGATTCGGCCTTCCGAGGAAAACCTACGCGCAATCAAAGAGGCGCCAAAACCCCAGAACAAACAAGAGCTGCGAGCGTACCTGGGGCTGCTAAATTTCTACGGGAAATTTGTTCCGAACATGTCAGCAGAGCTGAAGCCACTTCACCAGTTACTAAGTGACAGCACTAGTTGGGATGGGACCGTAGTGGAGGAAAAAGTGTTTCAAGAAACAAAACGGTGGCTGACGCACGAACGAGTGTTGACTTACTACGATCCTGAAAAGGACCTCAGTCTTGTATGTGACGCGTCGGCATACGGCGTCGGCGCGATACTCTTTCATAAAGTTGGTACTGAGGAGAGGCCCATCGCTTTCGCGTCTAGGACTCTCTGCAAGGCGGAGCAAGGCTACGCGCACATTGAAAAAGAGGCGCTTGCAGTGGTTTTTGGTTTAAAAAAAATTTCACAAGTTCCTCTTCGGCCGAAAATTTTGCATCTACTCTGACCATCAACCACTGGTGGGAATTCTGGGGCATGGTAAGCCGATTCCTGCAATGTCAGCAGCACGCGTGCAGCGCTGGGCCTTACTGCTTGCCGCTTATAACTATGTTTGGGTGTATCGAAAATCCAGTGATATAGGAAATGCCGACGCGCTTTCACGGCTACCGCTGCCAAACAAAGATGAGTCAGAGTGCGTGGAGTTCTTTTCGGCGCTAGACGAAGCTCCGCTATCTGCAAAAGAGATAAGACTGGAAACGCGAAGGGATCAGTTGTTGTCGAAAGTGCTGTTCTACACAGAAAACGGCTGGCCTTCGAAAGTTACAGACGATTTGCTAGCGCCTTACTATGTTCGACGTAACGAACTGTCAGTCGATCAAGATTGTGTAACTTGGGGTAATCGCGTAGTGGTTCCGTTGTCACTCAGAAGTAGCGTCTTGACGATGCTGCACGAAGGTCATCCGGGGATGACGCGAATGAAAATGTTGTCCAGGTGCCACGTTTGGTGGCCTCGTCTAACACAAGATGTAGAGCAAACAGTGAAACAGTCCGTCACGTGTCAGCTGTCGCAAAACGCTGCGCCCAAGGTACCCTTGTTGTGGTGGGGTTGGCCTAAGCGTAGATGGGAGAGAGTGCATATAGACTATGCGTATCGCGATCAGCAATGGTTCCTTGTGCTGGTGGACGCCCATTCTAAATGGATTGAAGTGTTTGTGATGAACAGTACTAGTAGTGAGAAGACCGTGGAAAAACTGCGCAGTGTGTTTGCGGCATACGGGCTACCGGAAGAGGTAGTGACCGATAATAGGCCTCAATTCACATCAGCAGATTTCGAACTCTTTTTGAGTAGGAATGGCATCCTACACAGCAAGTCTCCGCCCTACCATCCCGCCTCCAATGGCAGCGCGGAACGCTGCGTACAAGCCGTGAAAAAGGCTTTGTTTAAACAAGTGCTGGACGAGCAGAGAAGCGGCCATGCGAAGTCTCTGCAACATCGCGTCCATCAGTTCCTATTTAGTTACAGGAACACACCCACCGGGACAACCGATGAAACTCCGGCCCAGCTGTTCCTGTCCTGGAGGCCCAGAACAAGACTGAGTCTGCTGCACCCCGACATAGAGCAACGAATAAAAAAGAGACTCGAGCGAACCAAAGAATACGCAGACCAGCACCGGGGGCCCTGGAGAGAGTTCTCTGAGGGTGACCAAGTTATGATAACAGGCTTACGGGCCGGAGATTCCAAATGGCTGACGGCCACAATAAGCAAGCGTGTGAGCCCAGCTACGTATCTGGTTTGGGTTGGGGGGGAAGAGCGGTACATTCATGCTGACAACCTGCGGCCAAGATCATTTCAGGCTGACCTGAGGACACCTAACGACTGGAGCAGTTTTCGGACATCGAGACCGATACGGCTACAACTGACAATGAATCACCTGACTACCATGACCCGGCACAAGCAGAGAACAGAGCCGCGACACCACGGGCACCTGACCCAGGCCGCAGCATGCCCAGTGCTGTGACTGTTGGTCCCAATGCCCCACCATCGGACAACCGGGCCTCCAGACTGTAAGCTCCGCCGGCTTCTCCACTCTTGCCTCGGCGCAGCACACGGCCAAGCCGACCCCCAGAGCGCTACAAGCCGTAGACTCCAGAAACTTTCTAAAGGGGAAGGAATGTCGTGTCATCATGTCCGAATCGAATGTCATGTGTCGGTTAACTGTGACGTCACTGTTTAACCTATAGATAGCGCGGCTGCTATCAGTATAAAAGCAGCCATGAGTGTGCCTACGGGTTTGTTGTATTCTTGGCATCGTCGAATAAACTTGCAAGCTGCAGAAACTGAGTACTTCCCTAGAGGCTAAAACACTTCCACTCTTACAAGTTGAAACGTTCAAATACAACACTCCTGGGCTACTCCGGAAAAGACATTCCCGTTCTGGGGAAATTCGACGCACCCGTGCGGTTCGTGCAAAGGCGTGGCCCCTGCACATTCCTTGTCGTACGAACAGGCGCGGCTGTCATGGGCCTGAACGCCTTAGTGCGTTGGCCATTCAACTAAACTTTGCTCCTTCCAACGGTGGCAACGGTTTCCGCGAGAAACCTTCCAGAGATCGCACAAGACTTCACCCATCTGTTCTCCGAGGGATTATGTCATGCGAAAGGATTTGTACATAAAATAAAGACGAAAGATACCGTCACTCCTTTCCAACAAAAGACACGAAGACTGCCTTTCGCAGTGCGCGAGAAAGTTTCGGAGGAACTGGCGAAGCTGGAATGCTCCGGAGTTATCGAGCGCATCGATGCTCCAGAGTGGTTGTCTCCCATCGTGGCGGCCCGCAAGAAGAATGGGGAGGTCCGCCTCTGTGTAGATCTACGAAAGCCGAACACTGCAATAGTTTTAGATTCCCACCCTCTACCGTGCCCCGACGAACTTTTTCATCAGCTTTCCGGTGCCCGCGTCTTCAGCAAGCTAACCTCTCGTCGGCGTAGCACCATGACTTGGCAGAGAAAAGCAGAGACCTAACGGCATTTGTGACGCATGAAGGTCTCTTAAGATTCACTAGAGTAGGTTTCGGGCTGGCATCCGCTGCCCCTGCCTTTCAAAAAATGATGGACTGCGTACTTCGAGGTACTCTAGGTACCGTCGTCTACCTGGATAATGTACTTATTTTCAGACACACAAGAGAAGAGCATGATGTCCGCCTGAGGCAGGTTGTTTCACGCCTTCAATAGGAAGGCTTGAAACTAAACCAGCAGAAATGTCTTTTTGCAGTCCAGCAGCTTCAATTCCTAGGACATGAGCTGACACCGCAGGGAATCAAGCTATGCCAAGATAATATTGAGGCTATCATGAAGGCTTCACCCCCCACAGATGTAACATCACTACGATCGTTACTCGGCCTGCTCACATATTACCTCAAGTTCGTACCAAACTTTGCGGCCATCGTGGAGCCTCTGCATGCGCTCCTGCGGAAGGATGTCCCCTTCCAATGGAAAAAGGCGCAAAAGGAAGCATTCGCTGCTGTCAAGGATCTCATACGGAACTGCGTTCCACTAACTGTTTTCGACGTGGCGCTGCCCACCGTCGTCACGACGGATGCATCTAATTACAGATTAGGCGCGCTTCTACAGCAAGTACATCCGGAAGGAATTCAAACGGTGTCGTTCGCATCGCGAACACTTTCAAGCGCCGAACGCAACTACTCTGCAGGGGAGAGAGAGGCATTGGCGTGCCTTTGGGCCTGCGAGAAACCGCACGTTTTTCTCTTCGGGCGCTATTTCACGCTCAAGACGGATCATCAGGCTCTCGTGACTTTGCTTTCTACAAAAGGAACCGGTCAACAACCAATGAGGATAGCCAGGTGGGCTATGCCACTCCTCAGGTATGACTACGAGGTACATTACCAGAAAGGAAACGAGAATGTCGTAGCAGACGCACTGTCGCGCCTGCCTACTCCGAATCCTTCAGATAGCAGCGAGTGTAGTGACAACGAGGAAGAATTCACTTGCCTGGTACGCATTTTATGCACAATCGATCAAGAAGAAATGAAGAACGAAACCAGGCAAGACCCTGATTGGCCTCGAGTAATTCAGTGTATCTGCACCGGATGGGGTCACGAGAAACAACGTGATAAAGTACTATCAACATACTACAAATAGCGAGAAGAGCTTTCGTCCGTGGATGGCTTACTACTACGTGGTGAAGTGTTGGTTCCACCTACTTCGCTACGGCGTCGACTCATCAATCTAGCTCATGAGTCGCATCCAGGAATTGTGCGGACGAAGCAGCATTTACGCCAGCGCTTCTGGTGGTCCCGAATAAACATCGAAGTCGACACCTACATTAGAGACCGCCACACCTGTCAGACGAACGCAAGACAGCTGTGACGTCGGCGGCACCCCTACAACCAGTTCGATTCCCATCAGGGGCATGGAGACAACTGGGAATAGACATTCTCAGACCATTCTACAAACTTCCATCACAAGTCAGATTTGCAGTCACTCTAGTCGACTACTTCAGTAAGTGGCTATAGTCGGTTGCACGCTAAGAAAAAACCGGAAATGCCTCTCGGAGGAAAATGTAATCCTACGCCGACAAACGCCAGCCAATCGTTTTCATGACGTCACGATTCCGTGGACCAATCGCGATCCTTTTAAAAAAAAAAGCTCAACATGGCTGCTGGCCTTAGCAACGCGACGCTAGTTTCTCGTGACAATTATTCTGCTTTTTTGCACCGTGTTTTACGTGCCCGAGGTTACGCCATGAAATCTTAATGGTTTCGGCTTGCGTTTGCAGCAGTTTTTGCGCGACAACGTGAGAATCCAGCGACGCTGTCGCCAACGAAAATTTCGAAGCGGGCGCGAGGCTTAGCACTGCTGAGAGGTGAGACGGTATGTTAGACAGTATGTTAGACGGTATCTTGGACAGAAAATGAATTGGGAAGACGGTACATTGGACATGACTTTCTTTCTTTACTAAACAGCTATTTCGTTGACAAAAACCTATTCTAACTTATTTAAATGTCCTGAATGAATTAAATAAATATTGTAGTAGTTTAAGACACGTTTCCTGGAGGAAGAAAAAGCAACGTTGCTACCGAACTATTTTCTCGACGGCGCAATGCGTTTGTGGGTGGAGCTAAAAGATTGTTCTTAGGTTGCATCCGACTGTAGAGGTAGCTTTCTGTAACCAAGTTATGGCTGAAGCTGTATGTGAATTCCTCATTAGAATCTTCAGCCGGGAAGGGTATCCGGAGGTGATTGCTTCTGATCATGGCCCACAATTTGAATCCCAAATGTTCCAGGAGTTCCTGAAGTCCAGCGGGATTTCCCACCGTCGGTCTGCGATATACCATCCACAAGCAAATGGTCAGGTTGAGCGCTTCAACCGAGTGCTTAAGCAGTACGTCCAAACTATCCGGCAGGAACAAGGCAACGTTCGTGCAGGCCTTGAGGAGTTTCTGGGTGTCTACCGAAGCACACCACATGCAGCGACGAAGCCCTCCCCCGCTGAGCTCATACACGGACGTAAAATGCGGACCCGTAGGGACATCGTGGGCTTCCCAAGTTTTGACAAGCCCGTTCACATCGAGATGCAGCAACTCCGCCAACGCATTGCTGATTACCAGAAGCACAGCAAGCAATAAACAGATGATAGGCGGAGAGCCAAACCATTTACAGCGGAAGTAGGAGATTATTCACGGGTAAAGATCCCTACACACCGACCGAAGGGCACCCCATCATTTGGCCTCCCTGAAAGAATTCATGAAGCGGTGCGGCCAAGCACCTTCGTCACGTCAGGAGGAGGATGCTGGAATTCGTCGAGGTTGCCTCGAACACGCATTCCAGCAAGACACGAAGTACAAGTGGACTAGGCAAATCCAGAAGCTGGAGGAGATACACAGCTGCCGCTTCCAGCTCCACGAAAGTACACGAGGAATAAGAAACCTCCAGACAGGTTCTCCCCCTGTTGAACTCTGATTCGAGGGGGGATTGTGTTGTGTCTGCAAGCGGATCCTGGTTTCAAGTGGACGAGGACAAAGACGAGGGAATACGAACGGAGCTCGTGATGGAGCGGTTGGTTTTCCCGTCCTGTCTTACCTAGGAGCTCGTATTAAAACACAAAGATCACTATTTCCGAACTGATAAGGGCAGTGTTGCTATATGTATCACAGTCTGTTGGATACGATTTGCAATACCTCTTATTGATTGTATTACGCTTGCATGCGAAAGTAAAAATAAAAACACCCAAATATACACTATATGTTGAGCGGTAGGTCGCGTTGCATTTTGGGGGTTTAACTTGTCAAACAATCAAGGGATATCTGGCAGGTCCCAGCGATGGAGTGACGGTGAATGTGGAACACATATAATTTATAGTAGCTACAACTAATCTCGGTTACACGATGCCTTCTTTGTAAATATCTTCAGTCAGCTTGCGAGCACTTCGGCTAGGGTTCAAAACCACCAGCAGGAGATATCTATGCGGGTGCTTCCTCTTCGGCGCCACCGAGACGACTGCGTCGGTTGCCTGATATGTGCCAATATCTTTGTATTTTCGTTAAATGACAAAGCGTAAATACCTTACAAAATAGCACAATGTTCCCAACATTCGACTATTTTCGCGTGAGAGCTGTATTTGGGGTTTTGGAATCCCGAGCCTTTTTTTTCTGTGTATTCCCGTTTGGCTTCCAGACAGTCATGAACCTTCTTTCAACACAGACAACACCGAGGAAAAGGACAGAAACAAGCAGATGAAGTCCTCCGAGAAGTCTGAACAGGCCGTCGTAACTTCCTTGCGTGTCTCGAAAGAACCCTGCAAAAGAGGCGAAATCAACATGTGAAAAACATTCGCGTGCTCCGAATAAATAAATTTGAGACCATTAAGGGTTTATGTGGGGCTTTTTGTGACATTTTTATTGCTAAACACATTTTCATCGTCTTTAATTTGTGTATTATATTCTTTTTGATCAGAAACTAGGGTGGTACTGCGAGGCAAATTGTTCATTTTGACGGTTGT